CAAAAATCATGCAATCAACTTTATTGCATGTTTTGTTTTACATGAACTTCCCTAAACTAGTAAAAAGTACTCTAACAAGCAATACTGTTATTATTAGCTATATTACACACCCCATGAAAATGCCTTTAACCTAATTAGAGAATTATTAGTGGGTTAAAACTTCCTAATATAAATTTTAAAACATATATGGTTACATGTATGGGTAAAGAAAGACTAGAGTATATTACTAGAGGATCTATAAGCTATATTTTGGAAAAAGCCAATTTAAATTAAAAACTGTAACTAGTGCATTAAGGCCTATTGAAATTACATATCTTTGTACAAAATGCCAATTAATAAAATTTCAGAATCTAGCAAATGTAATTCAGCCAGTGTGCAGAGAACTACTTCATTTAATTTTTAATTATTTTTCCAGACAGACTTTTACTCTGTAAACCAGGCTAGAGTGCAATGGTGGGATCAGAGCTCACTGCAGCCTTAATGCCTTGGTTCAAGCAATTCTTCCATCTCAGCTTTCCAAGTAAGTAGCTGGGACTACAGGCACATGCCACCATGCCCAACTAATATTTTTTTCACTTTTTTTTTTTTAGAGACAGAATCTTGGTATGTTGACAAGGCTAATCTCAAACTCCTGGCCTCAAGTGGTGGTCCTCCTATCTCAGCCTCCTGGGTCACTGGGATTATAAGCACTCCAACCTCATTTTATAATGTCCCATTTCTTAATCACATTAGTAAATTTATTTACTAATGGGGAGGACTTAAATGAAGAGTGTTAGAAAATACATCATTTTATCTCACAAAAACACTTTTAAAACTATAAGACAAATAATAATTTACGGGAAAAAACCCAGCTACTGAGGTATCTATGCATTTACAAATAGCAGTGCAGTTTCCTTACTAAAACATAACCTCTATATATGTGTGTGTATACATATGTGTATCAATCAGAAGGGTTAGAACAGTAAATATGAACCAGAAACTAGCAGAGCAAAATAAAATGTCACCTAGTGATATGACCTGATTAATGGTTAGAAGTTATGGCTAATCCCAACAATTTTTTTTTTAATAAAGCTGGGTAGCTACTGACTAGCACTTGCTAACTAAAAAAAAAGAAAGAAAAAAATACAGACTTCAAATAATTAAGAATTGAGCATTTTCTGCATGTTTTCTCATAATCAAGTAATAAGTCAATATTCAGAACAGCAGAAATACTCAAAGATGAAAGTAAATAATTAAGATGAATTATAAGGAATTACATAAAATTTTGCCTACCAGCTACTATAAAGCACTGTGCAAACCAACTGTATGAGCAGTTGCTGAGTTATATACCCTCCACTGAATACAAATATCTAAACAGATGCAAAAGATTTATAAAATGTTGCAGAAATGAGGACACATTGAAAAACATATCTGTGCACAACAAACTAATGAGTCCACTATATAGATTATGGTTCACAATCTATTTCAAATGTGCCACATTTTTCTTACCTCTTTCATTCAAATAATATTTACGATGCCAGGCACTGAGTCATTATTATGTAATTACATATCTTTTAGGTCCAAGCTTGGAATTGATTTCCTTTTGAAGAGCTGTCTCCAGTACCTCAAAACCAGGCTAATATTTATCCCCTAGCATGCTGTCCTTACTCCACAAAGGGTTTTCCTTCCTTAAGACCCTATTTGTGCATTTGTAACTAACCAGCAAGCAGACTCCATGCATAGAGACTATCTCTTATTAACTCAGTTACCAAGACTTAGCCAGACTAGGTGAATAGAGTCACTAGTGAAAGTGGTATCTTCCAATGCGTCAGCTGAAACAGGTGAAATCATACCAGAAAGCATCAACCTTTTCGATAAAGGGTTCTAAAACATTTTTGTAGTGTGGATCCTGTTAGTAATATGGTAAAGCCTAAGAACTGCTTTCTTAGAATGAAATTATTTAAAACACAAAATAAAATACCTAAGATTTTAAAAAATTAAAATATAAGTATTTTAAGTGCTTTTTTGTTACTATATTAAATTATAGGCTCTACCGTAATTTTGAAGCATGAGCAATATTTAGCGAATTATAAATAAATGTGAAATCATATTTTAAAAACCATTATTTTCATCACTCACAAGTTTACACATACACTTAACTAATCAGATCTCTGTATGGGATTATTTCCAATGATATTAACAGGCTTCATAGATTGCTATATGAAACAACTATCTAATATCAGAATAAGGAAACTCTACACCATGAACCATTTCAAAGTGAATAAATTCCAGAAGAACTTCAGTAAACTCTCATCAAAATTTCTATTAAAAAATAAGGGAAAAAAGTATTTAAAAGTACTGGACTGACCTATCACCTTCATTGTCAAAACAGTGTCTAATACAGTGTCATATATCTATATAGTTCAAAATAATTCACTAAGTTTACTATTACTCTGAGACACCATGCTAAGCAGTAGAGATACAAAGATTAATGACATCTGATCTCTTTGTAGGAGGAACAGGGAAGTTAGCAAGGGAAACAAACGTTTAAACAAATGATTATCACAAAATAAATTACATCATAGAGTTATAAACCTAGTGTCCCAGCAACACAGAAAAATAGGTATAAATAAAGCTATTTTTAACCTTATTATATAAGCACAAATGTGAGAGGTCAAAGAAATCAAATGGCAAATGTAGATCAAAATTATGAAACCATTTTATGATAGAAAATTAATTGCGGATGACTGCAACACTCTTTATATTAAAAAATACTTTCTTCTTATAATGCAAAGTCATAGGAAAAAAACACAGCTGCCAGTGTCAGAAGCACTGTAGGACTATATGAAACGTACATTAACAAAAAGCAGATGTGACATAACAGATGGAATATCAAAATGAGCCATACTGGTTATTCCAAGTGGAGTGCTACAAGTAATATAACTTCCAGACTGTTTTTTCACATTTAACTTAATTCCCACAATACTCAGAGAATTTCAATATATCTTGCCTTTATTAATTAAATCAATCCTACTGATCACCAATCACGATAAAAATCCTGCTTCCTTAATCAAAGATGACTTAAGATATTAGAGGATAGATTATTCAAAGTGCTTTATAAAATAGTATCTCTATATAATGATCATCTCTTACTATCATTCTTCATTTGAAAAGATGAAAAGAAGGAGAAAAGGATGGGCTTTTCCTATCAATTTTAAGTGATATAACCATTTCTGAAAATTAAGATAAAAACAGTATGCTCCTTAGATACATCAACCAAATGGGTAAGATCTGAAAAGACTGCAAGTTTCTGATGACTATACCAGCTCTGAAAAAAAAGAGCAGTTTTATTTACAAAGTATTTTTAAAATACAGATTGAGCATCCCTAATCTGAAAAACCAAAATCCTCCCCAAAATTTATGTTCTTCCTATAACACAAACCAAAATGCTCTGAAATGCTCCAAAACTGGAGGGCTGACATGATGCCACAACTGAAGAATCCACACCTGACCTCATGTACTAAGTCTCAGTTAAAACGCAGTCAAAACTATGTTTCCTGCACAAAATCACTTAAAATACTGTATGAAATCACCTTCAGGCTATGTGTATAGGTTGTACATGAAACAAATTTTGTGTTTAGACTTGAGTCCCACCCCCAAGATAACTCATTATATATGCAAAGATTCCAAAAGCAAAAAAAAAAAAAATTTTTGAAATCAGAAAGACTTCTGGTCCCAAGCATTTCAGAAATATAGTACTCAACTTGTAACTTGTTTCCTACTACTGGAAGTATTACACCAACTCCATACTGTGAAAAATGGCCATTTAAAAAAAGGGAGAGAGAGAGAGAATTAAGCATTTATACTGCTTTTGATATATAGGAGAAATGCTGTTTACTCCTGGCTGATGAGAGAAAATATTTTCTACAGAAGAATAACATTTAATAAATGCGGACACCAGGACAGAATTAAGAAAACAATCCGCCATTCTACAACCTTCAATGTAACAAAATTATTAATTAAAAAGTTGCCTCAAAAATAATGTCAAAATGACATACTGCAGAGTACTTGTTAATCTCCAAAAGAAAACCCTATTTCCAATAATGTAGATATGTGATTGTCATTACCTATTCATGTGATCAAATATAGCACCACAAATAGGGAGACAACCTAAAATAATGTGTCTCCCATGGGAATGAAATTATATAGACAGCAATACTTACGAAGTTTAGAAACAAACAAACAAAAACTCCTCAGCCTGAATGGATTTATACCTCTAAACTTAACTTCCAGTTAACAGATATCCAAGGAATGGAGAAATATAAAAACATCATAATGAAAAGAAATCTGGCCAAGCATGGTGGCAACACTTTGGGAGGCTAAGGCAAGAGAATTGCTTGAGGCCCCAAGTTCAGGATCAGTCTGGGCAGCACAGTGAGACTCTGTCTGTATCTTTTTTAAAAAATAATTTTAAAAATTAAATAAAAAATTTAAAATCTTACAAATGCAGAATTTAAGACAACTGCTTGTGACATTGCAAAAAAAATTAAAAGGTACAAATCATATGCTATATTAAAAGGAACTAAAGAGATAACAAAAAGGAGTAAACCTTAAGAACAAACAGAAAAACAAAGAACACCACTAAACAAAATCAGAGAAAATTAAATTAGCTTACAAAGTGTTGTAAGTTACACAGAAACTTCAAGTTACAAAAAAAGCACTGCTCATATCCATTAATATTCTAGTTTGGAATACTGAAGTTCTTGGAGTAATTATAAATAGAAATTAATATAACTCAATAACACTGCTTAAATGGCTACTGTTTAATAGCTACTTTATTGAGAACAAAATTTTAGAGTATTAAATTTTTATTATAAATTCATTTATTCAATATGGTAACTTAATAACTTTTCTAATATACACTGATGCATGAAGAAAAGTCAGATTCCATATTCCATATTTGGCTGGAAAACCCATTATATAAATGGTCTGCAGAGAGAGAGAGAAAGAGAGAAACTTACCACTTGTATTAAAAGCCATGCAGCACACTGGCTTCTCATGGGCAGGGAAGTGGGCCACAATGCCATCACTGTCAGAATCCTCACTCACAAGCACCTTTGCAAAAGAAATAAAGACAAATGGAGGTAAATATTTTCTCACCAATAACCAAGCTTGAAGACTATAAGAAGGTACATCACAATACCACTGACCAAATAACATTTCCACTCTAGTAAATTATGCTTGTCAATATAAGGAGAGAATTCCATTTTAGAATCAAGAAAGAGATATAACATGCCCCTAAGCAGATCAGTCATATAAACTCTAAAAAGAGTCAGCTAACTTGACTGTAGATGACAGAAACAATTACCTCTTCAAGTATAGGTTCGGAGAAAAAAAATAATACAATCAACTACTTTCGATTCTTTACAAAATCACTTAAAACTTTATCCAAGGACAGGAAATATAGGTCTTACTGTGTTATGGGATCTGCTGGAAAATCACTTTTTTTTTTTTTTGCCCATTATTGAAATATAACAGGAGAACAGGGAAAATAACATGTTAAACATAAACAAGGAGGTGTATAGAGAAATCACCCAATAACATTTTCATATTATAGTTTGAAAGTTGTGTTCTTCAACTCCTAGTTTACAGAGAGAAATAGAACAACTTTGAAACTACTATCAAATCATAAAAGCAGAGGTGTATTAGTGGGTAGCTCTGTATCTCAAATGGAGTTTCTTTTATTCACTCCTCTTAATTTTTAAGACTATATTGAAACATAATTTACATCCATATAATTTCCCATCATAAGTTCAACAACTTTTAAAAAACTGTTCTTATCTAACGTTTCAGAAAGAAAACCTATTACACCAATTTTGGAACATGATATTTAGACGCAGAGAAATTTAATTTTAAGTAACCTTGGAAGTTGTCCTACACTGGCAATGCTAATTTTTTTCTTTCAAAAATGCATGTTAGACTAAAGTCCTACTATGCGTAAAATACCCTGCGCTAAGAGCTCACAATAAAGCTAAATGTTATTCCTTCCCTGAAAGATACAGAGTAAATGACTAGAACAGTTTTTCTATCAGTTACAACATATTTGCAAAGATAGCCCAAAAAACAATGTACTTAAGCACCAAGATAGTATTTGTGTGTCTGAAAGTTTTACAAAGATACAACTTGCATATCATAAAAGCGACCCATTTTAACTTTACAGTTCAATGATGCTATACAATATCATAACAATCACAAGCCATCACAAAAATGTCTTAAATGTTATCCTTTCCAATCTTTAAAATTTATTGCTCTAGCTAGAACCTCCGCTTCAATCTAGCTACAAATACATTGATTATATTGATCTTTTTAAAGAATCAATTTTAGATTTTTCCAATATTTCACTGTTTGCTGTTCCATCAATTTCTATCCAGATCTTTATTATTTGCTTAATTTGCCTTGCATTGGTTATAACTTGCACCTCTTTTTATAATCTTTTAAGGGAAACACTTGCATTATTAATTTCAGACCATATTCTTTTCCTAATATAAGCATTTAAAGCTGTACATTTTCTTCCATATAATAGTACAGCTACACTCCTTAAATTTTTATATGTTCTGTTTTCATTTTCAGTCAATTCAAAATATTTTCTAATGTCCCTAAGCTTCTTTCTTCGACCCATGAGTTATTTATTTCCAAATATTTGGAAATCCTCCAAATTGAATATTGTTATTGATTTTCACTGTCCTTAGAGAAATACTCTGCATGACTTTAATCCTTTTAAAGTTATTGAGATTTGTTTCATGGCCAGCATCTGTTCTATCATGTAAAATGAATGTCCCAGATGTTTTTGATTAATGTGCATTCCGCAGGTTTTGGGTGGTCAAGTTGGTAAATAACGTCAATCATGTCTTCTAAGTCTTTTCGAATTTTCTATCCAATTGTTCTATCAATTATTTTTAATAGAGAAATAGTTGTACATGTTTACTAACATGCATGGGGAAAATTACAGAGTGCTTACTCCTATCAACTAATGAGAATAAATTATTGAAAGCTTGGGCTGTAACAAAGAGCTAAAATTTCTGCTTTCGATTTTGTCAGATTTTGTTCAATGTTTTCAGGGGCTGTGTTGCTAGGAATTTATGCACTAATAATTGTTTTATTAATCATACATATTAATAATGTTTTTCTAGAACAAGTATCACTGAGCAAAAAAAGAAAAAATTGTTTTATCTGTATTATGTATTAACGATTGTTTTATCATATTGACCTTTTTATCATGAATGAAAGAAATGTCTCTCTTTAGCAATACTTCTTGATGTAAAGTCTTTAAAATTACTATAGCCACTCTAATTCTATTATGGTTATTGTTTACATGACATATTTTTTTTTAATTTCAACTTTTTTTTTTTTTGAGACAGAGTTTCGCTGTTGCCAGGCTGGAGTTCAGTGGCACAACCTTGGCTCACCGCAACCTCTGCCTCCTGGGTTCAAGCAATTCTCTTGCCTCAGCCTCCCAAGTAGCTGGGATTACAGGCGTACCCACCATGTCCAGCTAATTTTTTTTTGTATTTTTAGTAGAGATGGGGTTTCTCCATGTTGGTCAGGCTGGTCTCAAACTCCCAACCTCAGATGGTCTGCCCGCCTCAGCCTCCCAAAGTGCTGAGATTACAGACGTGAACCACTGCACCAAGCCAAGTTTTTATTTTTTTGACCCACATCACTCAGAAAATTTTCTTGCTTTGGTACTGTACTATGGCTACGAAATATATCGTCATTCAGGTTAAGTTGAAGGAAGTAAGGTGAAAGGCATGTGCAACTTACTGTTAGTCTAAAATTATTTCAAAACTAAAAGTTAAAAATATAGAATATATTAATTACATTACATAAGATTCTTTGAATGTTTTCTTTATGGATTTCACAAATATAAACAACCAGATACTTTTGGAATAATCTTCTCCATTGCATCATCATCTAGTCTAAAACATTAAACCATTAATGTCAGAGATATTCCAATATAATTTTCCTAAGACATGGAATCTTTACTCACCACTTATCAAAACAAGATGAACTCTTAAGTCTGTATTAACAACCTGACTACATTAAACAAAGCAGAGCACATGAATTGATTTAAGGTGGATAAGTCTTTATCAAATGAACAAAACACCTCAGAAGCTATTAAATTATTATGAATAACACTTGCTCCTCAAGCAAGAAATAGCTCAGAATTATGTCATCATTCTGAAGCATTTTATTTCCATTAGAGATTTTGCCACATTGCTAACTTCAACTACATAAATGTGTAAAAAGCAAATTATACCACTTAACTTATTCTGGTCAAGAAATGCTTTTAAATAAAACATGAAAGTAACACAGATAAAAATGGATGCAAAGTCAATCAAATCCATTCCTCCTTAATGCAGTTAACACACAATGATCCCATCACCATAAAATCAAACTAATCAATATGGCATCAGAAAGATGGTGAATCCAATTTTATATACTACCATTATAAACACAAAACATATCATTATTAAAGACTCGATGGATTTAAACAGAAAAAGTCAATGTATTGTCAGCTTTTCATATACAATCTAAGTTATATCTGGAAAACGAAATTACAGTTCAGGCTAAACATCAACCGAAGGGGCTAAAAGCAATAAATCTATGACATTAACCACTGCAGTTTGAATACAATCTGGCATAATCTAAAAAGAGCCTGTACTCCAACTGAACTACTTATCAGAGAAAAAAAGATTTTATTGACAAAAAACAGATTCATGTTAATTAAAAGAAAGACAGTATCATACTGTACAAATCTTGCTTTAAAAATTATAACTGTTTAAAAATGTACATACTAATTTCCCTTTTATGGAAAATCCATTTCTTTCCTGTCCTCTAACAGAATTTTTTAATCAAGTTAAAATTTCGGAATATGTCATAAGTGGAAGATTGGTGCTATCAACCAATAACAGAAAAGGTAGAATGTTCTATGTTGAACAACATTTAAGATTCTTAACTTTCAAAAGTTAGTATTTCTATGATTCTTTTTAATCAATGTATTTGTTTCAAGTGTTATCAATGCATTTATCACAAACAAATGAACTTCTGCAACTCTGCAATCTATAGTCTATTTCTATACTCCAAAATGAAGACTTCCTTTTTAAAGGTCATAAAGAGTTAATGAACTTGAAGAAAAAAATTAAACCACATTTTAAAACATAAGGCCTAAATGTTACATTTTTATGTATGTCCCCATACTTCCATTTAACAAAATAAATATACAAATTACACCTCTATTTCATCAAAAATGCTGAGATAATATTTTTCTATTTTGAAATAACCCCAAATATCTCCTCAACAAATGCTGGATCTTAAACAGATGTATGACCTAGACAATGTTGAGGAGACTTGCTACTACCCAATAAATGTGGGTGGCCTTATAGGTGAATTAGTTAAGAATCAAAAATCAAAGAACAAAAGGAATTTTTTCACTCTCTCACAACACTAAAGGTTAATACATTTCATTTCAATTAAAAACGAGAACATTTGTGTGTATCCAGATCAACTAATTAACACAGTTATTACAGTCAACTGAAAAGTTTTCCATCACTTCATTAAAAAAATACAAATTTGTAACATATTTGGCTAACCACAAAGTTAAGACAGGAAAGGCAGAGAATTATTATTCAGATTTCAAGTAAAATACAACGGCCAAATTTAATAACCCAGAATTTCAAAGTTTTTTTTTTGTTTTAATTGCAATAAAATTTTCTTGATGCCATTAATCTTACTATAGGAACTAGCACATAAGTAGTTGCCATATGTAATTTTTCATCAAGATGTCGACCCATATATACTGGAAACATTTTCTCAAAACATATGCAATATTTAAGGTTAATACCCTAACAGCTCACACAGTTTCTAACCATTGTGTTCTGAATACATAATTATATATTCTATATAAAAACTAACAGGAATTTTATTTCACAAATACTGCATATTCCTATCTCACTCTAGGAATTGATTTTAGATTGCATTTTTATATCAATGATCACACAGTATCAGAATAAAAAAATTACCTTCCTTTAAGAAACATTTATTTAAAATGAAGACTATGATATGAAAGAAAACAAAGTTGAAGAGTGCATGGGGGAAAAACACAACCCAAATGTTATCTTACCAGCAAGATTTATATGCAAAGGTAACATGTATTTTCATGCTTATAATCACCCATTGTAAATGTTTCTGAAGGTAGATTTTTAAAATTTCAGAACATTGTATCAGAAGACACAAAATTTTATAATAAGCTATTGCCACATATGTATTCTGATATGCTACTTTAAGATTTCACATATTTTTATAGATAAGGAAATATCTGTTATAAACTGTGATACTACTCACTAAATTATGTAACTTGCAACTATTAATTAATTTTTATAAATTCCTCTAAGTAAGTATGGTCCTGCCTTCAAAAAGAAATTTATATGACCAGGGGCAGTGGCTCACGCCTGTAATTCTAGCATTTTGGGAGGCCGAGGCAGGCATATCATCTGAGGCCAGGAGTTCAAAACCAGCCATGACAACATGGAGAAACCCTGTCCTTACTAAAATTATAAAAATTAAGGCTGAGCACAGTGACTTCCAGCATTTTGGGAGGCTGAGGCAGGCAGATCACTTGAGGTCAGGAGTTCAAGACCAGCCTGGCCAACATGGAGAAACTTAACTCTACTGAAAAATACAAAAATTAGCAGTGCATGGTGGCACACACCTATAATCCCAGCTACTCAGAAGGCTGAGGCAGGAGAATCACCTGAACTCAGAAGGCAGAGGTTGCAGTGAGCCGATATCATGCCATTGCACTCCAGCCTGGTGGACAGAGCAAGACTCTGTCTCAATCAATCGATCAATAATAAAAACATAAAAATAAGCTGAGCGTGGTGGCACATGCCTATAATCCCAGCTACTCAAGACGCTGTGGCAGAAGAATCACTTCAACCCAGGAGGCAGAGAATGCAGTGAGCCAAGATTACTCCACTGCACTCCAGCCTGGGCAACAAAGTGACACACCATCTC